CCCACACTCATTCCTTGAATGTGGGTTACTGTGCTATCTGAACCCGCTCAGTGTGACTGAGCATGGACAGGATCTTTCTCATTAAAAGAGTATTAATTGTAGCTAGAGGAGTGATGGCTTGTATTGAGACCATGGTGCTTGTGTGGATTAACTCCTCTCTGTCATTCCGCCATTGAATGCAACACCCTCAAGTTGCTAGTTGCCACACTGAGGAGAAGATAGCATTCTCTCCCAGTAACGTGGGCCCGCTCAATTCATTCCCTTTCCCCTCCTCTCCAACAGTGATCACCTTTTACCTTATTTTTTAAAAAGCTAGCAATCTGTTCACAGATATCCCAGTGCCAAGTCTGGCTCGACTCTGGAATTAAAGTCAGTTGTATGCCAACAGTATATGCATTTAAGTTTTTAATTTTAATTCTAGCAACCAGCTTCTCCTAAAACTCTCTTTAAGATGTACAGTAAACCCAAGAAGACTAATTTTCAAACATAATGAACACATCAGACTTGCTGACTTGCTCAGCTTGTAAAGTCTAAAAATGTAATTCCGTTCACTTAAAATGGAGCCAACTTCTTGCAAAGAACTATTATCCTTGAATTATTGTGGAACAGGAGCATCCTAGCCCTTTTACAAAGAGCTCAGGGGTGGTATACATGCTTCTACCCCCCTCTGTCCTCACAACAACAACTGTAAGGTAGGTTAAGGGAAGAGAAAGTAATTGTGGGTAAGTTTTGTGCTGGGGACAGCTGACATTTCAGAAGGCAGTCTTAAAAAAAATATATACTGTGAGCTCTGTTGGCTTGTACTCAGCAATGGAGCTCTGGATGCTGCTGTCACCATCCTTTACTTCCAGAATGCCTTGGTGTAAAATACTGGCATATTCACACTGTTCCTTTTCTGCCACACAGGCAGTTTTCAGAAGCTATAAGAAAGATGTCCCCATAGTAAGCATCTCCCTGCCTTCACCACCATGGCACATACTGTGTTGTGCTGGCTCCCTTCTCTTTGTTCACTCAAAATCCCCCTTCTAAACTGAGCAGATCTCAAAACGAGGAGGAAAGCGATTACCCAGAGCAGAGACATGAACTTGGCTCTCTGTTTTCTTCAGGGGGCTGCTCGAACCACTTTCGTACATTGGCTGTATGAGGGAACAGAGGTAGAAGTTGTAAGTGCTGTGTTTTGTTTGAGCTATTCAAGGTTTCAGTGAGCTCACCCTGAAAGAAGGGTATTTATGTTCTACTGGAGGCTTGTGCCTGAGGACAGCTAACGTGTGCTGGTTGAATTGGCAGTTACTGCTACCTCTAGGAGGTGAAAATCAAGCTAAATTTCTGTTTTTAGATATGAGAAAATAGGACTGAAATAGGTCCTATCTGATTAGGGAATGACTCTTGTTCTGAAGATGTCCATTGGTCAAGTATTTACACAGGGAAGGGGTGAAGGAATGTTGGCCACCCAAAGTTGATAGCCTGGGAGGGTGCTGACAAGAACAAATTTAAGGAGCTCTGAGAGTCTGATGGCAATACGTTGGAAGTCTGGCTGGAGAGTTGTCTGAGGAATGTATCTTTGTGAGAGGCTGAGGAGCCTGTTGGAAAGTATCAGCCACAAAGAAGAGCAGCCGCAAGACAGAGAAGTCAAACTGAGAGCACATGAGGTGGAAGCTGAAGGAGGTTTGCATGTGGGGAGAGGAAGACTGTTGGAGCAGCCTTTGGATGAATCTGCATATCAAGGGATGGTGGTGGCCTGAAGATGGAGCTGCTGCTGGACTGAACTGAGTACTTCTGGAGAAGCCAGGCAGAAGTCAAACCCGACCAGAAAGAAGACTGCCTTTCAAGTCTTCATGGTTAAACCCATGAGTTAACTGGGTTGATAGGGGAATGGACTTAAGGCTGGTTAGGAATAGGAACATGTGATGGGTGAGACACAGAAACTCTTCAGAAGTAGTGACAACAGTCTTAAAATAAGAAGCTTTTTGTCTTTTAAATAAAATACTGTATAGAGTTGCTGAGTTTTTTGGAACCTCTGAGCAGTTTTGCCACCTAATGACCTTAGGGGAAAGGGGCGCATGTTAAATGAAAAGACGCAGTTTGATGGCAGCAGTGGAGGCGAAGAGAGGGACTGGTCAGTGGTGAAGGGTGATTCTTCACATTCAGGGATGGGGTAGGTTTGCCCTAATGCTGCTGGCCTCCAGCTCCAGACCAGGTTTTCTACAGGCTTTAAGGGAAGCTCTGTCATTAAGGGAGTTAAAATATACTTCTCCCCTGCTATAGAAATATTCAGCAAGGTGTAATACATGTGCACCCAGGAAGGGGGAAGAGGACAGGTGGGGCCAGTGGTTCAGAACCCCTGGAACTGTGAATTGTATCTGGGGCTTTATCTATTTCTAAAGTACCTAAAATCTATTTGAGTCATGATAATACATTGGGTAGAGCTAAATACCATCATGGCTCAGCTATGAACCATGAAGATCACAGTTCAGATGCTCTCTCCTACCTCACAATTTCTGATTTATTTATTTATAAATAATCTGCTACCAGTATAGGGATAACATTGACCTACTTTGCAGGGTTGGTATAAAGATAATTAAGATAATTTACATGAAATACTTTGACGATTCAGATTACTTACATGAAATACTCTGAAGACTCAGAAATGCTATGTATTAGTATGATTGAAAAGTATTTTCTTTTGAAGCTAATGTTAAAAAGGAAACTAAGGAATGGAAATTGCCCACTTCAGATAGAGTCTCATTTTATTTATTCTTTCCTCCCCAGCTTTTTTGCCATTGAACATATACTTTTCTACAAAGGAAAATGTCCTTTTAAAATCATCAAACTGTGGAATTTTTCTTTGCTAGGAAAGCTTGGGGCTGACACTTAACTGTGTACTGAAGATAAACTTTTCACAAAGGACACACTGTTTGAAGCTGTACCTGTTATCACAATTGCTCAAGTGATAACATTAGCTTTAAAAATTGTATTGGGAAGCTTTTAGGTTCTGTTTCTGCATAAAGGGCTTCCATTTATAGCAGCCATTAGCTTTTAGTGATTCATCAGCCATAAAGGTAGCACTGTTGACACAATATAAAAGAATATCAGCTCCTTAACTTCAACTTTACTCACCTTCCTGATAAGCCATGATGTGGATGCCATCATAGGTAGCGGTGATGTCTTTATTAGCCATGGTTTCACCTGCAATGCAATTCTGTTGCTATAAACAGCAAAATAATAGGCATGCTTCTTTGGTTCTGTGTTCTGTGGCACTTACTTCCAGGTAAAATGGTACTTCTTTCGTGATACTGTTTCCAAGAAGTGGACGCTTAGAAATATCTTTTCTATCCAAGTTCCAGCCCAATACCTGAGGCAGGGATGGTTGTCCAATGGCACCCCCAAAGCACTGCACCTCCTGCCCCCTTTAAAAATAAGCCTTATGGTATTCTTCTTTTCTCTGTTCTTTCTTTTCCTGCCACCTTTTAAACTCACTTTAAGCCAGGACCCCTGCTCATGCCAGTATGTGCCTGGCCATCTCCTCTGTGTGAACCATTTTGTGGCAGGGCCCACAAGAGGTTTCTTGAACTCTGAAATGTGCCCATGGCTTCTTGGGTTACCTAGCCTAAAGAAGAGCCACACTGTGCTGTGGAAAAAATGAAAAATGAAATCTGTGGTTTTTATATTTATTATTGGATGCTGTGCTACTTTTATTTTTTATTTTATTGCTGTTATTGTGAACCATCCCGAGACATCAGTGATGGGACGGTATACAAAAGTTTTAAATAAATAAATAAACCATTGAAACTCATCTGTATAAAAGGACTGGCTTGCCAGATTTCCTGTTGCATTTTGAACGTATGTGCTTGTCCTCATGGGAAACTGCATAAAGTTTATGTAATAACAGAACAATCAAACAGATTTGCTGATGTCTTTCTAACATTGGTGAAGCTGCTGCCATTGATCACTTTGCACAACAGTTTAAAGCCATAGAGTGGTGCTAATAGAAGAATCGGGGTCAAGAACTAATGTCCATTTTTTCCCTCAGCACTCATTCTTGCATTTTCTTTTCAAATGAAAAACAGTCAGGTTGCAGTCTTGATGGAATAGTGGGAAGGGGTGCTTAAGCCTTCCACTTGGACCATTCTATAGCTTAAAGTTCGAACAATTAAGGGGGAAATGTTTCAAGGGGAATATTTAGCCACGGCAGGCAGGGACGTCTGAAATTGGTGGGGACATAATTTTCTCATGCATAGCAACATCATTACAATTGCTGCACACATGCATAATTCTCTCAAACGTATACATTTGTTTAAACATTGTAGGCCAGCAGAAGACCTTCACTGCAACTTGAACTTTTGAATTGCAACTCCCATAATTCTTGGCCAAGAAATATGGGAATTGCAGTCCAGCATCTCTGGAGGACACCAGGTTGGAGAAGGCTAACTACAAACTCAGACATAAGAGAACTTGCAGGGATGAACTGGGAGAAGAAAACCAATTCAGAGGTTTAGCCTGGTTCATGTAGGAATCTTAACTGGTTAATGCAATTAAATCTTTAATAGTATTTCTTCCTTGAGAGGGCAAATCTCATTTGCCTCTTAGGAGGAGCTTCCACTGCCTTCCTTCTACCTGTGTTTTACCCAAGATTTAGACTTGCTACTTTTTGTTCAGACAAAGAAGACCACAGATGGGGGAGCTCAACAGACCTTCATGCAACACATAGTTTGACCAGTACAACTGTGGTGTCTGTGTTTTCCTCAGGCACCCCCGTGAAAGCTAATCATGTCCAATAACACACACCAGTGATGGTCTTGAACAACATAATGGTTGGGTCACTGCAACCTCTCAGTGTTAAGCCAAGTGTTTGGTTGTATAACATTCTATATTTAGTAGAGGTTCGGGTTGTTAAAGATGTGTGCGGGATGGAGAATAAGATCCTTATTCATAATATATTTTATTAACTAATTTCTTCAAGGACTGATGAGGAACTCTGCCTTTCCTCCCACCCCACCTAGGTGATCTTTGCTTTGAATCAGACCCTTTTGCAGCAGGAGAATCTCCGAGCAGGCAGCCTGCAGATCCCTTATACAACAGAAGACCTTATCAAGCATTACAACTGTGGAGACCTCAACTCCATCATCTTCAATCATGACACTTCTCAAGTGAGTCTTGTTCCCTTGTCCCTCACACAGAACTGTCAGTTGGTTTGTCTTGTTTGCCAGCTGGTGTTCCCAAGGGACAGGGCCTTTAACAGACACACATTTCTGCTAGTTAAGATGAGCTAGAATGCTGGTGTGCTTCTGATTTGTTAGGAAACTTGAAAATTTCAGGGTGTTAAATGTTTTGTTATAATACAGGGGTGTCCAACCTACAGTCTACAGGCCACATGCGGCCCAGGATGTCTGTGAATGAGGCCCAACACAAAATGGTAACCATACTTAAAACATGAGGCTTTTTGCAATTTTTTTTGTAACTCAGTTGCACAGTTCTGGAACACGAACTGTGTAGACGACAACATCATGTCACAGTGTCTCATAAAATAAATATACATATGCTCTCACTACTTGTACACGTGTGTGGCTTCAGTTTTACAGCAGTATGTGGCTTCCAGTGTGTTATCTTCTAAGCACAGACAGTCAACTTGACACTATCAGATGTTACATGTCCTCCTGGTGACTTGGCAAGAGAAACATAGCTATTATCAATAATAATTCAACCTACTGTTACAAACAATTTTATACATTTTGACACATTGACTAAACACAGTCCTGTGAACAGCAAAAATATGTAACCTTTCTTTTCAATTTGATAGAAGAATTTGAAAACAGATTTCAAGATTTCCAGGAAAACAATCACTATTTTAGTATATTTGCAACTCCATTTTCAGTTAACATAAGTATGTTACCTGCCAATTTTCAAATGGAATTGATTGATTGATTTATACCCTGCCTTCTCCTACAAAGGGCTCAAGGCAGCTTACATCATTCTCCTCCTCCATCTTATCCCCACAACAACAACCTGTGAGGTAGGTTGGGCTGAGAGTCTGTGACTGACCCAAAGTCACCCAGTTGGCTCCATGGCTGAGCGGGGACTGGAACCCAGATCACCTGGGTCCCAGTCCCATGCTCTTAACCACTGCACCACACTGGCTCTCACAATGCTGCATAGAGCTGCAATCTGACATTCAACTTAAAGAAAAAATTGATCGTGGACTTTTATAGGTCCTATCTTCCCAGGGACAAATAACCCTTACTTCACAATCATGCGTTATTCATGTCTTCATTTTTTGGCAGCACCTACATTGTGAGCAACTATTTTGAAGAATGAAGCACACTAAGTAAAATTAGAACCAAAATATATTATGAACACTTTGAGAACTCACTGAGAATTATGACTACTTCCATTGAACTAGATGTTGATGCATTAGTTTCTCAGATACAATGTCAAATATCCCACTAATTTTGTTGCCCTCTTTTCCTTTAAAAATATCAGTGAAGTTTTATTACTTAGATATGTTCATTTTCTGTATTAGTGATTGTAAACTTGGGACCTGCACGACAATTTTAAAAGACTCTCTGAATGGGGTGCTGCATAATTAGGATTATTATGTGAGGACTTTCTTGCTTCTCTGTGGTGAGAGGTATCACAGAATTATGCACAAACTTTTTTTGGCTCATCAGCTTTTGTTAGTGTTTATGTATTTAATGTGTGGCCCAAGACAATTTTTATTCTTCCAATGGGTCCCAGAGAAGCCAAAAGGTTGGACACCCTTGTTAGAACATGATTGAAATTAACTGCTTTACTCTCAGTCCTGGCCTTTGAAAAATATTTAGAACGATAAGGCAAAGCTAGGTGAAGAATGCCATTCTGGCAAGTTCCAAAATATTGTGTGTTTGGGGGAGAGGGGGGAGCATGTTCTTATCCTTAGTGGCTTCAACTGTTGTTCGATTTCAAAAATTTGGCTAGATTTGAATACAGTGACTTGTTCTATTTGGTGCTGCCTTTGAAAATGACCAGGAAAATAGTACAAAATGCTGCCACCCATCTGACGAGTATTGGTCTTTGTGGATCTTGCATTTGCTCCAGAATTTGCACTGGCTTACTTCTAGACTCGGATGCCAGTTGGCTTGAAACCCAACATAGCCTGGGCATAAAATAACTTGGAAGAGCAGCTTCTCCTATTCTGAACCCCCAGGGATTTAAGATCTGTTGATGAGGTTCTGTTCCAGCTGCCATCTTGTTTTGAAAATAGATTGATTTCCACATGTAACAGGCTTTTTTATGTGAGGGGAAGATTGTGGTTTCAGAACTATTGAATGCTTTTCTGCTAGAGGTTCACTTTAGTGCCTCTTCAACCTCTTTTTGGAGACATATGTTAAAAAAGGATGAAGGACTCTCTGAGAATGTGCTTTGTGACTGGGTTCAGGCGTTTGAACAGTGCACATTCAAGAAGTTGCTGCTGATGCAGCATGCCAGCTGGTGGATTCCACAGTCAAACCTTTGAAATGGGACCAGGGATACAGAGCTTTTAGCTTGAGGGCTAAATTCCATTTTAGAGATGCTCTTGAGTGGGCTGCATTCCATTGGTGAGCAGACAAGGGGCTGGACCAAAATACTAAAACTACAAGAATGCATTCTTTTAAAGCTTTTCCTGCTAGTGACAAAGTCTTGGGTAAGGTATTCCAGCCTTTTAGAATGTGGCAGGTCAGGGGGGACGCTACAGGAAAGCCAGGAAGCCAGCCTGTGGTTGGTGATTTGAGGGGACAGGTGAGGCCAGGAAAGGGGGTAAAATCCTCTGGAGAACCCCAGGAAATCAGATTGGGACCTCAGAAGGGCTGAAGTTGGTCCCCAGGCTTTAGGTTCAGCTCCGTCTCATTTATACCTTAATATTTGTCAGGCTGGGCAGAAAGGTCTTGAAATGGTGACATTGTAGGAGGTAAGGGTTTAGCCTGGGCATCATTCCCAAGATTAGGTCAAAGTGAGGAACAGCTGGTAAACTAGGTACAGCAGTCCTGGAAGCACCTGTACAGCAAGAACAGGTCAGCTGATACTCCTGTATAAAGGTTTTCCAGCTTTGCTTCACAACCCTGAGCAAAGAGAAGACTCATCTTGCCACCTGCTGCCTTGGCTTTGTCTTGTTCCACTACTGATCATTTTGCTTTCCCTGAGTTCTGTTAAATTTAAATATATTTGTATATGTTTTACCTATAAATTTGAATTGGAATCTGCTGCATTCAAAAGCTGATCACAGAGTATATGTACATTTAAAAAATTAAGTTCCAGTCCCCCCCCCCTCGAATTAGACATAGTAGCCATTAGGAGGAGGTGTAAAACTTTCTGAAACCATTTGGCTACAAAGAATTATGCACATCAAGGAGCAGTTGGGTGCTGGTTGAAGTGATGGCTGAGACAAAGTGGAGTTCTGATTCATGCCTTTGCAAGCTGCCTGTGTTGGCTTCTGTAAAGCCTTCCCAGGCTGGTGAGTGATGTGGTGCACAGTAATATTTAATTGCCTCTACTGTGTGTCTTGATATTAATGAATGCTTAGCTGTGAGGACAGCTGACACCAGCATGCAAATGCTGAAGATGGTTGGAACCATTCACAAAGTAAAGGTATTAAATGTTATTCTCTGCTACATGGATTGTGAAGAGAGAGATAATAAGTAATGTCTTAGAAGTGCAGTTTGTTATCCTGAAGATTTGTGTTCTGTGCCATTTTTTGCCATCCCTCCTTCCCTTTTTTCTTAAGTATGTGATATCATACTATTTCTTCCTTGCCTGATGAGAGCATGGCAGTCCCAGCACTCTATGGAGAAACGCTGTGATTAGCAGAGCTGTCTGTAAGTTTGGAAGAAGCCAAAGTCAGTGATACGGCATTCTGTGCAACTCCTACCCTCTGTTGCAGCTGCCTGAAGCTTAGCAATATAGGAAGCTGCCTTGTTCAGAATCAAACTAGAGGCCCATCTAGGTTAGCAGGCAGGCATTTTCCCAGCCCTGCTCGGAGATGCCGGGGATCATTCTACCACTGCACAGAAATGGAGCACAATGTGGCATCATGTTCAAGATTTCCCTCCCTTTTGGAAATGGTGGCAAGTGAATTGGAACTGGGGCAGGAATATGGTGATGTTGTGTGTTGTGATTAGTCTTCGTAAGGATTACTGGAGAGGCCCAGCTGTGTATCAGGCATGGCCCCCCCATATTATCTAGACAGGCTCTGAAATGAAACTTTAATCTGGATTGCCGTCTCCTCTTCTTGCACAGGTCCCAAACTTCATCAATGCCACTCTGCCACCTCACGAACGCATCACAGCACAGGAGATTGACAACTACTTCCGCCAGGAGCTTATCTATAAGCGGAATGAGCGCATGGGCAAGCGGGTAAAAGATCTGTTGGAAGAGTATCCTGACAAGAGCTTCTTCTTTGCATTTGGAGCTGGTATGTATGTTTTACATGAACGATCAAGTGTAGATACCAGTTTTGAGTTTTACTTGTTCTTTGGATGCTACACAAACGCTCATTTTTATAATACATGCTGAACTGCTGCAGCTTGTACTCAGAATGACAATCCTTGATAGCTGCTGAAAGATCAACCATATATTTATTTCATGCATTTATTTTAACATTTTATAAACTGAAAGAATTTCAGGGTAACATACATAAAACAAACAGAGCAATTTAATGTGTACTTTAAGCTTCATCGAAAACACATCCTTGCTATCTGAATCTGTGGATCTCCTTAATGCAGTAGTGAGAGCAAAACAAGTATATATGGAGTGCCAACATACAGTTTCATGGTTATATAGCAGTAACACTGAACTGCAGAACTGAAAGCTGAAATCTTGATTTTTCCTTCCAGATTGTCCCTCTTCTTTTTGTTTATATTTCCTCTTGGTCTTCAAGGCACCCACCAGGTCCTGGTCATTTTTGCCAGGAACCTGGAAGTCTTGGTGAATCATTGTTCACCATGTTTGTAATTTCCATCAAATAAATATGCATCAGATTTGCAGGTGATGGTAAAAGTCCTGGTCCTAGTTCTGATGTCTCATGTCTGGATTATTGCAACAGTCTTCCAATAGGGCTTCCTCTTCCCTTCTTTCCTTTTCCACTCTAAAGGGAAAAGGAGCCCAAGAAGGATAGAGAGCCCGTGTGGTATAGTGGTTAAGAGCATGGGACTGGGACTCAGACAATCTGGGTTCTAGTCCCTGCTTAGCCATGGAGCCAACTGGGTGACTTCGGGCCACTCACAGACTCTCAGCCCAACCTACCTCACAGGGTTGTTGTTGTGGGGATAAGATGGAGGAGGAGAATGATGTAAGCTGAGCCCTTTGTAGGAAAAAGTCAGGATATAAATTGATAAATAAATAATGCTTAAGGTACAACTACAAACAATTCCAGGAAGGAAAGAGAGTAGTAGACAACAGAGGAAACCCATGTGGCTTCACAAAAAGCTGAGATAATCTGAAAACAAAAAGGACACGTATAGGAGGTAGAAGGAAGACCAGACTACAAAAGAATATAAGCAAGTAGTAAAGAACTGCAGGGAAGACATCAGGAAGGCCAAAATGAGGCTAGTGAGGGGAGCTTAAAGCAACAAAAAAACCCTTCTTCAAATTCATCCAGAGCAGAAGACAGACAAAAGAGAAGAGAGTTCAGCTACTCAGCGTGGATGGAGCAGTGATGACAAAGAAAAGGCAGAATTGCTCAAGACCTACTTTGGCTTAGTCTTCTCCCAAAAGAAGAACGACAACCCTCCTGATGAAGCCGGAGGGGCAGAATGCCAGCCCAAGATTGACAGGGCAAATGGTCAAGGATCTTCTAATTGGACTAAATGAGTTCAAACCTCCAGGGCCTGAAAAGTTTTATGCCCAAGTCATAAAGGAGCTAGTGGAAGAACTCTCAGAACCACTATCTATCGTCTTTGAGGATTCATGGCATACAGGGAAAGTGCCAGAATACTGGGAAGGGCTAATGTTATTCCTATCTACAAGAAAGGGGAGAAAAAGATGAACCTGGGAACTATAGACCAGTCAATCTGACATCAGATTTCCCTGGGGAAAAATTCTAGAGCAAATTAGAAAACAGTCTGCAAACACCTTGAAGACAATGCAGTAATTATTACAAGCCAAGATGAATTTATCAAGAATAAATCCTGCCAGACTAATCTGATCTCACGTTTTGATTGGGTAACTTACCTGGTGCATTATGGAAATGCTGTCTTGACTTCAGCATAGCTTTTGACAAAGTGCCCCATGATATACTGATTAACAAACTAGCTAAAATTGGGATAGATCAAACAACTTTTAGGTAGATATACAGTTGGCTACAAAATCAGACGCAGAGTGCTTATTGATGGCACCTTCACAAACTACGGAGAGGTAATGTGTGGGGTACTGCAGAGTTCAGTCCTGAGTCTAATGCTCTTCAACATTTTTATAATGCAAAGAGTACTTAACAAATGTGCAGATGATACCAAATTGGGTGGGTTACCTAATGCCCTGAAAGTCAGAAACAAAACTCAAGGTGATCTTGGTAGGTTGGGCTGAAAACAAAATGCACTTTATCCAGAACAATCTCAAGTTCTGCACCTATGAAAAAGAAACCAAACATACAGTTTTTCTTCGTGGTCTCTGTGCAGTCACACCTATGGGCTTGCCACGGAGCACGAGGCCACGATCAGATTAAATTTCCAAAGCTCAGTGTCATGGAGTGGGTGGGAGCCTGCCTCACCCCTTGTGCAGGTGGCATAAAGGAGGGGGCTCCTACCCAGTCACTCAGTTCCTTTTAGACCACACTTTTCACTTGGGATCTGACCTTCGGTTCCAGACTCACATCATGCTCAGACCTTGAGTGTGGGTTATCCTGTTGTCTGAACCCAGTCAATAAAAGTGAAGAAGTTTCATTGTGGGCCTGGTCTTAATGTACATTAAGTGTTGCTTGTGATCTATGAATTCATGCTACCAAATAGCATAGACTGCTTTTCTGCTGACAATTGGTGGGAGTGCAAATACCCTCAGTATTGGTGGATTTCAAACTATATTTGGAGGACCCTGAAATTCCATTGAAGCTTCTGAGGAGTTTATCAGAGAAAAATCATTTATGAAGGCAAGGCTGCCAACAACTACCAAGCTTCGTCTGCAGTGTATAAACACAGTAGAGTCTAGGATGGGCTTTATGATACACTCTTGGTAGAGGTGAAGTGACAGTAAGGCCCTGTAGATCTTAAGAATACCCTACATGAGCTGAAGTTTGCTTTAGAATGTGACCCAATATCTGCTGTAATTCTTAGGGCTTCCGTGGCAGATATCCGTGGTATACCAAGGTTCCATTTAGATGCCAGGAAGCATTTCCTGACGTTTAGGACCCCGAGGGTGTGGAATGGGCTTTCACGGGAGGTCGTCGAGGCCCCATTGGTGAGGGTGTTCAAAGATAGGCTGGACACGCACATGGTGGGCATGTCGTGAGCGGAGCCGGCTGGTGCCGGAGGTCAGACTAGATGGCCTGGGAGGCCCCTTCTGACTTGCTCTGTTTCTATGTTTCTATATAAGTTCCTTCCTAGACAAAATGTGGAAAGAAGTTGTACATCCTGTGCCATAGAGGGATGTCCATCCTACCTTTTTCATGTAGGAGTTTGAACAGATTTAGTTATTGCACTGTGCAAGTTTGGCATATGAATAATACAGCACCCCTGAAGAGAAAAAGGCATTCTTACTATTCCCTTAAATTATGTACACCCAGATGCCGCAATCATCATTTTAGAAAAAGTGTTTTTTCATCCTTCCTAAGATTTTGTTCTGCCTTTCATCTAAAATGATACCAAAATGGTTTATAAATCTTCATAAGAGAGAAAACGAGAGAGGCTCTTTCAATTTGGCATCTGCCACTCAGAATTTTCTTAGTACTTGCCTTCAGAATAATAATTGTCTCTTCAGTAAGTCAGCTGACCCCAGTTGGCTGGGATCATCTTTTTAATTGACCAGAATGTGTTTTTAATCAAGCTAAAAGATGAATTGGGTAAACTTTGCAGCCTCACTGCTATATGCATAATCTGTTTCTTGCCTACCTTCAGGAGTTACTAGCCCTGTTGTGTTCATAACTGAAAATCTGACTTAGTTTAGAAAATAGAGAATGCAGTGAAGTATGGTTTGTTCTACAAGAATTTGAGTTTTTGCCCTCAAAAAGAGCAACACACACCAGTTCAGTGAAACAACCACATTATAAACTTAAAAAAAATAACAGTGAAACAAATAGAATAATAAACTATTAAAAATGAGGTGCTGATGTCTTCAGCTTTATTAACCATCTGGCAAAAAGTGCATGGGAAATCGTGCCCTTCCAGCGTTGTCATCAGGTGGATTTGTTTGGTTATACCACAGCGACAGACAGTTCAAAAATTGGTGCACAATCTTTGTCTGTGTGTGTATGCACGTGTGCGTGTGTATGGACGTGCGTCAAAACTTGGCTGCTTTGGCTGTTGAGGATAAAATAGGAACCATTCCTCCATTCTGTTGTTTTGGCTGACACTATGCTTCAAATCTGGAAATCATTGCTTTATATTCAACATCTTAAGTAAGTCCAAACGGACTAAAAGAACAAATCTCCCTTAGCAGCATTTGGAAAGTCTGTTTTCTGTGTGGTTATCTAGCCGTTGTCTTGGCTTGCCATTTATAAACATTCCTAATTGTTGCCTAAATCTTTGGCCGTTAAAAAAAGAAATAAATGTATGGAAAGCTTTTATGTCTCATGTATTTTAATTTATTTCCTGTCTTGCTGTCCCTTTTTACTGCTATTTTTCTGGTGTCTTTGCATATCTCTCCATTCCCTGTATGGTATGGTCTGTTTATGAGATCCTATTATGTAAGCAATTGCCAAATGCCAGGGAGGATCGCAATTTATTTCGCCTGTGAGTGGTTTGGTGAACATCTTGAATGTCTAGTGCTATAACTGGCAACTTGTTCAATTGGTATGAAAAGATTTTCCAAAATACAGTTTTCTAATTCCACAAAGCCAGCAGAATGTTTGTGGTGTTCTTCTAATTTTAGTGAACCTCCAAGATGATCCAATGAGATCAAAATATGACTGTATTCAAGGCACAGTTCCAAAGAAAATCATGGAGCCGTTCAGATGCTTGTTCTCATATTCCAGTATCCTTGTAGCATTTCCTCGCCCCCAATCTAAGAGAGCACTTCCTCACATAGGTACCACTATAGTGTGGTCACGCAAGCCTTGCTAAAAAAGAGGAAATGCATCAAATGGGCAGAGGACAAAGGATGCATTTTGCAGGAAATGTGTATATGCTGCTTTCTGTGTAGATCAGTGGTAGGTAGCCCACATGGGGACCTCCCCTGTGCCCCTTGCCAGCCCCTCCAACTACATTATTTTAACCCTTGGAATGGTGTGTGTGTGTGTGTTGCCACAGAGCACTACAAGGATCATAT